ATTAAATAAAAATATTTGATAAAATTTTAAATAAAAAATTTAATTATTATTTATATAAATTATTAATTTTTTAAAATTTATATTTAAAAAATTAAAATTTTAAATAAAAAATTTAATTATTATTTATATAAATTATTAATTTTTTAAAATTTATATTTAAAAAATTAATAAATCAAACTAAATTTACTAATAAAAAAACTAATATAATAAATGTTGGTACTTTCCCAATCTTCCTAAATTTTAGGAAAGAAAGGCATATAGGTATGATTCCTTATATATATATATACACACATATGTACATATCCGTATATTATAATTAATTAATGTTTTTATACATTACGGTACATAGATATTACCTCAACAATTAATACACGTTTTGCATAACATTTATTTAATTGGATTGTTTAATTTGTATCTTAATGACACAAATTAAAAGTGTATTAAATATATTTTTTATCATAAATTTATATTAAAAAATAAAAATTAATATTTAATTTATCAACTATTCAATTAAAATCACTTGACACTAAAATTAATATCAATTTTTATATTTTTTATAGATTTATAATTAAAATATACAATAAATGCACTCTTATGTTGTATTCTAAGGATACAAGATAGAAAAACCCTATCTTAATTTCATTTATTACTTTTCTTTCATATTTCAATTATTTTTTTACATTATAGTTATATGATGAGTTATACAATAAAAATAATATTTTTTAATTTTTCTTTATTTATTTTTAAAATTTAAACTTAAATTCTTTAATATAAATATTCAAAATTTTAACTATTAAATTGTCTCTAGTAAAACTTCATATATTAAATTAAAATAATAATAAATAAAATTAAAATTTGAAACTAAAATTTAAGACAAATGATAAATATAAGTCATATCATTTAAAATATTAAAAAGTAAATAATTTATTATTTAATAATTGATTCTTTTTTATTTTTATTACTCCTGATATTTTATGTCAATTAATTTAATAATGTAGCTTATACTACGTCATTAACCTTAAATTTTCATTCTAAAATTTCATCTTTCTTATAATTACTTATTAAATTATTAAAACATATATGTAAATATAATAAATATGTATTTTTATCATAAATTTATATTAAAAAATAAAAATTAATTTTTATTTTATTAATTATCTAATTAAATTTATTTATTTAACACTAAAACTAAAATTAATATCAATTTTTATATATTTTATATATTTATAATAAAAAGTTGTTTTTAACACGTGGGTTTAGAAAATTCCAAATTATTAATGACTCTATTTGAAGAGTTGTACACTGCCAAATTGCTTGCTGGCACATCTAGGGTTGGGCATGGTACGGTATGGTAACCGTACCGCACTTAAATGATGGTAATCATTTTAAGTGGTAATGAAAAAGAGTTACCACTTTCATACTAATTGATGATTTTTTGGTAATAGCTACCAACCGTTTTCAATGGTAATGAAACTTGCTTTACCAATACCCTAACATATTACCATCTTTAAACTTATTTTCTTCATTATCAATTAATTCAAGTCATTCAAAATTCAATCTTAAAAGCTCAAAATTATCTTAAAAACTTATTTTCTTCATATCGTTTTTCATCATCTTGAAGCATACAAATATATAATTATACAAAACATGCACACATCAAAAAAAAAAAAAAAAAATTATCTTAAAAACT